ATATATATATATGGTTAACTGGTTGGTGGTATATCTACCCCTCTGACAAAAATGAAAGTCAGTTGGGATGATTATTCCCAAAATATGATTGTTAATAATTGTTATACTGGTTGGTGGTTTCGACCGACCTGAAAAATATGAAAGTCAATGGGAAGGATTATCCCATATATTATGGAAAATAAAAGAATGTTCCAAACCACCAACCAGTATAAGAATGGATAATACAACTGGCAATGATGGGTGAACCATATGGTTTTTGTACTGCAATTCTTACATCTATGGTTGATCATTGTTGAATCATGAAAGTGAAACACCCCTACGGTGGTGCCGCAGGTCGAAATCCTTAAGTTTAAATGTTGGGTTCATGACACACAAGTGCACCACAAGGTATTGTTCCGCAGTTTTGTTTGTTTGCTTGTTTGTTTGTTTGTTTGTCTGTCTCTGTCTGTCTGTCTGTTTGTTTGTTTGTTTGTTTGTCTGTTTGTTTGTTTGCTTGTTTTTTGTTTGTGTCTGATTATTTTTGTTTTTGTTTTTTGTTTTTTTGTTTGTTTGTTGTTTGTTTGTTTGTTTGTTTGTGCTGTTTGTTTTTGTATGTTTGTTTGTTTGGCCGTTTGTGTTTGAATGTTTGTGCGTTTGAATGTTTAATTTTCGTTTGTCTTTGACAATGATTTGTTTTTGATTGATTGTCTGTTGTTTTGTCTAATTTTTGTTTGTTTGTTTGTGTTTGTTGGTTTTTGTTTATTAGATTGTTTTATGTATGTTTGATTGTTTCTTGTTTTTGTTTAAGTTTTTGTGTCTTTATTTGTTTGCTTGCTTGCGTGCTTGCTTGTTTGCTCGTTTGTTTGCTTGCTTGTTTGTTTGTTTGTTTGTTTGTTTGTGTGTTTGTGTGTTTGTTTGTTTTTTGTTTGTTTGTTTTTTTGTTTGTTTGTTTTTTTTTGGTCTGTTTGTTTTTTAAACAATTTCAAACCCCAACTAATCTGCTTCCAAACCATCTTAACTAAGTAGGGAGCATCACATTGTATGAAAGTTGGAAGCCTCATTCAGCCAGGAACGGCTCCCTATAACAATGTGTAATGAACAAGGTTTCTTTCGCTCAAATAAGCGTTCAAAACATCGGTTGGCTTATGGTTCGCAGGGGAGCGTTCTAACCAATATATATATATATATATTGGGGAAGATCACAAACTGATCAGTTCCAGTAGGAGGGTCAAAGTTCAGCTTTTTTAAAATGTGCATATTAATATATATATATATATCTTTATTTATTTAAATATTTATACGTATATTTATATATAAATGCTACCTAACAAACAAAAAGTTTCTGAGCATATTATGTTAAAAAAGTTTCTGTTTAATAGAAAAACACATTCCCCTTTGGCAACAAACCATATCGCTATTGAAGTCTAGCTTTTATTTCGTGGTTTCACTTTTAACAAAATGATTTTCCACAACTATGTTTAATATAACCTGTATATCCCAATGTTTGCTAGTTGAATCCTCCAAATTACAACTAGATTCATATTAAACGGGATATTTGTTAGATTCCCATTCTTAGCTATTATCTTCCATCGTGGTCTTAAGTCCCATTATGCACGATATTCCCACGCCCGGTGCCCCATACCTAGCTAAGTTGATTTTATTAACTCCGATGTCACGGCCCCACCTTGCATGAGATATGATATTATGGAATATTGATATTACGGGATTATGAATAGTATGAGGGCTATGAGCATATAGTATAGAAATATATATATATATAATAAATTATAATAATATATATATATATATGAAAAGCACAATGTAAACATCCATTTTCCATATATCCTCAGGATGTCACATTAAAGTAGCCATCAGATGATCAACCAGTTGAATGATCACCACGCCAAAATCAAAACAAATCCGTGCTCAAAGGGAGCTGGGGAGCAGCTTCCGAGTTGCGGACAAATACATTTGTGAGACTTTGTGAAGTGGGCACTTAGGGAAGTGATGACTGGCTGCCTGCAAAACTTACAGCTTGGGGAAGCGGTGACTTAGGGAAGGGAAGTGGTGCCTTAGGGAAGTGGTGACTTAGGGACGTGATGACTTAGAGACGTGCTGACTAGAGATGCGATGACTTCAAGAAGTGGTGACATTGGGAAGTGATGCCCCAGAGAAGTGGTGACTGAGGGAAGTGGTGACGTAGAGAAGTGGTGGCGGTGCAGATCACATTGTAATGGCTGCAAGAGTGTTGCATGGGACTTGTGTTGGGGAGGATGCGGGAGCACGAAACATTATGTTTTTTTGTGTAAAGAGGCTGCAGTCGGCGATGAAGGGTAGCTCCTTCGTGAAAGGGGTGCAGGCCGTTCGTTTTCATGTTTTTCCCCAACAGCGTGTCCAAACTGAGTCGTTCTTACGGTAGGTGTGAAGGCCAGTGCTTGATCAGGGTGCTCACTCTGGGGCGCGGCATTTTTCCTGCAAATTTCCGTATAAAGTGGCTCTCGTGAAATGTTGAAGTGCATTTCGACTGCGCACGCTCGCACAAAGTGTGGCCACAGGTTCTGGGCGCGGCATTTTTCCTGAAAATTTCGATACAAAGTGGGTCTTATGACATGTTGACGTGCATTTCGATTGTGCAGGCTCGCACAAAGTGCGCGCCTAAGTTCTGGGCTTTTCCTGTAAATATCTGTATAAAGTGGCTCTTGTGAAATGTTGAAGTGTCGACTGCGCAGGCTCACACACACACAGTGTCATCCTCATCCTCCTCACCATCATCATCCTCCACATCATTCTCCTGCACCTCATCACCCTCAACATTATCATCCTCAACACCATTGTCCGCATCATCGTCCGCATCACCGTTCGCATCATCGTCATCGTCATCATCATCATCGTCATCATCATCATCATCATCATCACCATCACCGTCATCACCATCACCATCACCGTCATCATCGCCATCATCATCATCAACATCATCATCATCATCATCCTCAACATTGTCCTACATTATCCTACATTATCCTCCCACTCCCCCCACACTGTTTGGGGTCTCTTGCCGGCTATTGTTTTTGCAAGGTGGCGCTGCAAATGGCATTGCATAACGGCTGCCTGAATCAGAGCGCGGAACATTAATGTTTTCTCGTGTAAAGTGGTTGCATCACGGTTCCTCGCTGCTGCGGCTGTGCGCGTAATACTGTGCTCTTTTGCAGGTGGGCATCCTAAATTGTATTGGAATGGCTGCATCAGGGTTGCAATGGTGAATTGTTAGCAGTTTTTTCAATTTTGGCACTATTCATTTTCCTTTTTGAAAACTCCGTTCAAAAGTCCCTCCAAATCGTATATATTTTCAGTTTGGCGCCGAGATCCGGTTTTGGATCTGCAATTTCTGATGCCAGTGTGCACAAGAAAGCTTCTCTGTGCTAAAAGCTTTCTGTGTGTATTAACTTCTCTGTGTGAAAACGTCACTGTGCAAAAAAACATCCGTGTGTAAAAGCTTGCTGTGTGTAAAATTGTTCCGTGTGTAAAAGCTTGCTGTGTGTAAAAGCTTCTGCGTGTAAAGGCCTCTCTGTGTAAAGCCTTCTCTGTGTAAGCTTGCTGTGTGTAAAAACGTTCTGTGTAAAGGCTGCTGTGTGTAAAAGTTTGCTGTGTGTAAAAGCTTTCTGTGTAAAAGGTTCTCTGTCGAAAAACTGGCTGTGTGTAAAAGCTTCTGTGTGTGAAAAGTATTCTGTGTAAAAGTTCTGTGTGTAAAAGCTTCTCTGTCTAAAATCTTTCTGTGTAAAAGCTTGCGGTGTGCAAAAACTTCTGTGAAAAAGGTTCTGTGTGTAGAAACTTTTCTGTTTAAAAGCTTCTGTCTGTAGAAACTTCTCTGTCTAAAAGCTTTCTGTGTGTAAAAGCTTGCTGTGTGTAAAAAACTTGCTGTGAGTAAAAGCTTCTGTGTGTAAAAAAAACTTCTGTGTAAAAGCTTGTTGTGTGTAAAAACTTCTCTGTGGAAAGGCTTCTCCATGTAAAAAAAGCTTGCTGTGTGTAAAAGTTTCTGTGTGTAAAAGCTTGTTGTGAGTAAAAGCTTGTGTGTGTGTGTAAAAGCTTCTCTGTGGACAAGCTTCACTGTGCAAAAGCTTTGTGCGCAACGGTTTTGGTGCGCAAGAGCTTCTCTTTGACAGTAAGAGCTTTCTGACATACAGAAGAGATGAAATGAGTTAAGAAGACCTTCCATGAGATGAGAAAGGTCGAGCAGTGCTCAGATGAAATGAAAATAGTTGAGAAAAACTTAGATGACATATGAGAAGAGGCGAGATGACATGAGAAGAGCTGAGATGAGGTGAGAAGAGCTCAAATAAGATGAGATGACATGAAGTGTGGAGTGTGAAGTGCAAGTGCGAAGTGTAAAGTGAGGAGTGTGAAGAGTGCAGCGTGAAGTGTGAAGTGTGGAGCGTCAAGTCTCATCTATTGAAAAGCGCACCACTCTCGCACAAAACACGCACGCACGGGCCCAGCTGGCGCACAGAGCATGGCGCATGCAAATTCTATATATGACACAGATCTTATAGTATAACCCTAAGGCGACTTCCGCCGCGCCTCGTGCGGGCATTACTGGCATTTGATTATATTTCATGATATTCCACAATATGTCATTACATTCCCATCCAGTTATGGGTCAAAAGCCCTGTACATTGGTAAACATCAAAAACAACTGGGATTTATGAATGGTAAACCCCCAAATGTGGACCCATAGGTTTTGACCCATATCTAGTTTGACATGTTAGACATGTTACAAGAAATATTCACTTGGTTTTTACCAGTAAAAAATCAGAGTTGCCCTGCAATTGTCCCCCATAGGTTTTGCAAGGTGGTAGTTCAAACCCATGATAAACCCAGTATTTCATTCCCACTAAATGGACTACGCGTGATATTCCCATTCATAGCTATCATATTCCATAGAACTCACCAGTTATTTCACTCATAGCCATGGGTATCACTAAAGCCCTACTTTCTGATGCTGAAATCCTGCGAAATCCCAGACCTTAGAGGCTCAAACGAAGATCGCAGGACATCGTGGTGGCCGCCGTGGCCGGGGACATCGGGGACATGGCCTGCAGAGATGTTGTCGTTTCGCCGGTGAGGCTGGAAAATCAGAAGCCAAAGGGCTTTTCTGTGGTGAAATCTATGGTGAAACCTATGGTTTTCTATTGTTTTCTACGGTGAAATCTATGGTTAATTGTGATTAATAGTGATTAATATTGGTTACTAACCATAGATGGTTAACCATTAATAGGGTTTCAACAAGCAGTAATGGTCATGGCTATTAGTGATTCATAGTGGTTAATAGTGGCTAATAATGATTAATGATAGTGAAATCACTGGTGATTTCTATGGGATTAATGATGCATTCCATTTCTATGGGGTGACTTGTTAGTATTTATAACTGGTAACGGCATAGTTGGCTAAGTTGGTGCACATAACTCCAATAACGTTTGCGTTTGTGGTAGATATATTGAGACACTTACTATGGTTTATAAACCATCTGACATCACTGGGGGGTGGCACCACCTTGTAGGGAAATCACAAACAAGGGAGATTGAATAGGATTTTTAAAGCTGATCTATGATAAGTTGGTGAACATAACTACCACAACTGTGGTTCCTGGAGGATATAGCTATTAGTGGGGCCCATAAACCAAATTAAAACTGGGGGGGGGGCACCTTGTATTGGACCAAGAAACATATAGGGATGTAGAGATGAAACAAAACGTATAGTTGAGGAATTCCAAAAAGACATAGATGAACTCAAGAACATATACAAGTTACATAGATTAAGCATGATTGAACCAAGGAACAAAATATGTGTGCATCATGGATCTAAGATTTGAAATTAACCCTCCATTTTTCTTTCAAATGGGAAAATGATGATAAACCGAAGGATTTAGGAGAAACCTATTTCAAAACAAAACCATAATGTGGACATGTAGAGATGCAACGCATCGTTCGAATGTGAACGCTAAGTTGGTGGACAAAACAAACTAGGTTAACTAAAACGAGCATAGGTGGTCAATAAACCACATAAAGACTAGGTGGCACATCCTTGTAGATTATTGTTGTAGATTATGTAACTGTGTTTTGATGAAATCACAAATTTTGCATAGCAAAGTAGATTGAAACAACTCAATGAACTTTTCGCTTATTATAATTAGATGGCTTATGAATTGGCTTCATACCTGGTGACTTGCAGTGGACCGCGAGCTACCGGACAGGGAATTTCACCTGGAAAGTTGATAGCATTCGGATCACTATAAGTATGCAACCCATAGTGCTGGTATATTTTCCCTACTTATCTGGGTGATATTTGGAGAGTTTATGTTGATACATATTCCAGCACCAACATATGGTTTGATAAGTCAATGAAAACCTTACAAATTGCGATAGGCCACGAAACAGGGGCACTGGCGATGACAAGGCTTTGCAGAACCGGCATCTATAGTTTGCTGACTTGGGAGATCAGTTTTCTTTCTCGAGTGCAGGGCAGAAACTGATTATAAGGTTACATGCAAGTAGTCAGTTTTGACCTGCGCGATCTTGTAGCCATATTTTGCACAGGGTTTGAAATGTGTTTTTGCACATGTAATCTGCTTTGTGGGATATTCTAAACGAATGGTATATGTACACCCCCATGTTCATCAATTGTCTGCCATTTCGATGCACATGATGTTCAAACCCATTGGATATTGATGAATTTCGTGGGTCTTCCCAAACTTATCGAGCAAATCCAGAAGACTTTCATCAGGATTCTTATACTTCTCAGTCACTGGTAACGTCCTTTTAGCTCTTGGACTTCCAAACGTTGGCTGCCCAACTTTCAACAAATCCCGTACCTGGTACCTTTAAAATCTATATGTCAACATTTCTATAGAGACCCCAAAATCCGATGTCGATTTTTTGGGTCTCTTCCAGCAGAGCTTTTCCATGGGGGAATTCCACCCCGCAGAAACTGCACCTGAATTGGTGGCTGAACATATGGCACCTCTCGGGCCAGCGCAATTTTTCTCCAAGTTTTCATGGGGAAACTCTGCAGGAAGTGGCCCGAGGAAGTGGCCAGTAGTTCAAGGCCAATGTATAGCATGATCTTAGGGGCTGCAAATGGAATATGGCTGGGATTTGTGACATTTCCAAAAAAGGAGAATCCCTGAAAGAATAGTTTTCATGTTTTCATGGGAAGGCCCAGTTCATTTTACTATCCTAAATGATCATCGACCTAGTGGTGTTCACAAAACTGTTCGCATGCCCTGTGCCCCCTAGTGATGTTTGTTGGTTTATAACACGACTGCACATGTGTTATTGGCTCATCAAAAAGACCTACAGCTATGGCTCTTTACCAGTTATAAGTCAGTTAATTAAATCATATATATATATATATATGTAAGTTATAACCCCATTTATGGAATGTATAATCACATAGAAATAACCAGTTATAACCATTTGAGCTGTGTTTTTCGGTTGTCTGGGCCTTCATTCTTCCTGTGCTACCTACGCCACTGTCTACGCAATGCCTACGCGGCCACAGTGGGAGCCTACGCGGCTCATCCCTTTGAAGGTGTGCCTACGCAAACCCAACGCCCGTGTAAACCGACAATGTACGTTTGTGCCTACGCCGTCACACTTCCGTTTGCTTTTGGAAGGTTCGAAACGGAACTTTGCCTACGCGACCACAGTCCCATCAACATTTTTGTTAATTGGCATGCCTTGCAGTACCCTGCAGGGGCACCAGTCAGCAGGCTCCAAAGCGCACACTGCAACCTGCAAAGCGTGACGGACATCCTGCAGCCACACCCTGCAGCGGCACCAGCACCCAGGTTCCAAAGCGCTCTCTACTGACACCACTAATTTCAGATACTTTCACTTCCTTAATGAAAATATTACTACTTATTCGAACTTATCATAACTTATTTTAAAACTTATTTGAACTTATTTTAACTTATTTTTGGAAACATCCAAAGGCTTGGAACCTATAATGTGAGGGATTTAATTTTTGTACACATTTTTCAAAGAAATTGCCGGAAAAAAGTTTAGATAGTGTTTCTTTGTCTAGGATAATGTTTCTGTCGTTTGGCAAGTTTTCTTTGTAGGTGTTATCCTTTTCAGGATACTGTCCTGTTCAGGAACCATCCTTTTCAGGAATTGTCCTTTTCAGGAAGTATCCTTTTCAGGGAAAAAATCCAAGACATTTTCTTGTCAGAAAGTATTTTGTTATTGCGTTTTTTTCTTCAAGCAGCGTGCCAAGAAGAAATGATAGTTATAGAGATGATAGCTTTGGATCATTATATATATATTGTGGTATTGTTGTTCGTAATGGTGCTTAAATCAAAATATTTATTGTATTAAATCTTTGGGAGTACAAATTAAAATGATAAAGGTTAAAAATTAAAATGATAAAGGTTAAAAAGGAAGAAAATTCAAACAAATCAGAAAATGCAGAAAACCTAGACAAGGTTAGAAAATCCAGAAAATTCACAACAGCCAAAACAATTAGACAAGTCAGAAAACACAGAAAATTCAGACAATTCCAAAAACGCAGCAAACTCATAAAATTCGGAAAAAAACAGAGAATTCAGAGAATTCACGAAATTCAGAAAACACAGAAAATTTTGAACTTCAAATCAGGGTTCTAACTTAAATTAATTAAAAGAAATTCAAAAAAATCAGAAAACCGAGAAATTCAGAAAATTCAGACTTCTATAATTTTAATTAAATGGAAAACAATTCAGAAAACAGAGAAAATTAAAACAATTCAGAAAACACAGAAAATTCAGAAGATTCAGAAAATTCAAGAAAAGCGAGAAAATTCAGAAAGTCAGAAAATTCAGGGAAAAACAGGAAATTCAGAAATTCAGAAAATACAGAAACTCAGAAATTCAGAATTTTTGGAACATTAAATGGGAATGTCCCAGAAAAGGGGTGCCATAACTGAGTGCCCCAAGCCATTCTTTTTTATTTACTAAAAAAAGTGAGCTTGGGGAACTCATAATTTGAGACATTCCCAAATAAAAATACAAAAGAAAACAATGAGGATATCAAATTGTTTCAAGTAGACACATCTTCCAAAGAAATCTGGAATGCAGAAAAGCAAACAACATTCCTCTTGAGGAAATATCTTGAACCTAAACTATTCTTTGCAGAAATTACCCTTTGTGGGAACTATCCTTTGCAGAAATTACCCTTTGCAGGAACTATCCTTTGCAGGAACTATCCTTTGCAGGAACTACCCTTTGCAGGAACTACCCTTTGCAGGAACTATCCTTTGCAGGAACTATCTATTTTTACAACTGTTCCTTGCCAGCAATCATTTTCATCTCTCATCGTTTGGATCCTGTAAGTTTTGAGCACCTTGTGCTTGCCCCCTTGTGTGAGCCAAAAAGTCATCATATCATTGCAGTATGCAAAAAGGTCCCAATCAAAAAACTCGAAAAATGCATTGAACTTATTTCCAAATATTTCAGATATTTTCAGATATTCTTGGGAAATATTTAACTATATTTGACTATATCTTCAATATCATATCATGTAGTAAGTTCAAATAAAAAAGAAGGTGGAACTTAACACAAAATATTTTTCAAAATGTTTAAGCAAGATATTAGTAGGATATTAGTAACTTATACGATGCTTATTATCCTTGTTAAGTGCCTGAAGCGAAAATATCTAAAATTAGTGGTCTCAGTAAGCATGTGGCGGATGGATCATACAAGACCTAGTACCTTTTGACATCTTTTGACTATGCGGAAGACAAGCCGAGCGACGTGTTCGACTGTCACTAGCTTGGTGTTGCAATACGTCGAATGATGGTTCTGGCGAGGTTGGGATGTTTTTGTTGTGCACATTTGGGTGTAGATAGTGGTCAAGACACCACCTAGTTGCCACTGTTAGGTCTTACCCCGGCCAAGCCAATCACAAGCCCACCAAGCCAGTCACGAGTCTTTTTCTATTCAGATGCTGATTCGTCACTGTCGGACGATGACTTGAAAGAGCTTGACGAACTGCTTTCTACTACTCGGAGGGCTTCAGTTTGTCGTCTCTTCTTGGCCGCTGCTTTTTCCAGTCTGAGAGCAGCGGAAGAAAGAGCTCTTTCAAGTTCAGATTGTGGAAGTCTGGCTGGTGCAGGCCATGCGCTTTTCTGAGATGTATAGCGACGGAAAAGCGGCGGAAACGTCTGGAAAGAGCGACGCTAGGACAACATGGAAAGAACACAATCTATGTCAGTCAACAGGGAAGAATGACAACCTCGCATGTGCATGAGGTCCTACCCAAAAAGAGCATGTATTTATCTGGGGTGGCTGTGCCAAAGTTTGGGATACAGAGGCCTTCCTGTACGACTTTTGGTGCCTGCCATTTGGTCTTCAAATGCTTCCCAGTCATTGTTAACCAAACCGGAGGGGCCAGATACTGTAATTAGAGCAATGCAGGCAGGGACAAAACGAACGTTGTCTCAGAAGACCTTCGATGCCTTACAGCAGGAAGGCAAGCCTGGATCATACCATAGTTAAATCGTCAGCAGTGATGATCACAAGGTGACAAGATTTTGTGTTTTTGTTTGCTTTCATTTACTTTATGTCCATGTTCTTGTAAGCTTCTTGGGGGGCCTGACTGATCTTCCAAAGCCTTGGTGACTGTCCGTACAGCAGTACCCCAGTGTTGATTTAAGTGTCTATTTGTAAGTACCATTACCATCCCAAGAATCCTTCTTCCACTCAAGTTTCTTCTGCAACAGGCCATTCGTGCGGATATGTTACACAAATAAAATGGGTTACCTAATTTTGAAGTCGCTGTATACCTTTTACACAAAATGGGTTTGATGGTTCAAAATATGTCGAATTGTTTCTAGCTTCCAGTACCAGGCATAGATGATTCCAATTGACAAGTGGCTATCCAGCAACCGAAATTCCCAGTAAAGAAATGGAAGTTCCAAGGATGTAGTGTTGGAAGATGTTTTTTCACCATGGATACCATGGATTTCAGTTAAAAAGATGTAGTTGTAACCAGCAGATACCAGCAGAACATTGGGAAATTCAAGGGTTTTGTACTGGATCTACCTTACATGTGCAGTGTTTCATCATTCATTGATGTTTTGCAATACATGAGTACAATCAGATATACACATGTATCTACTTAGATGCTTCAGACCTCATGAATCTTATCAGACCTTATCGCCTCAGATGTTCGCTAAAATGATTAAGGCAAAAGCAAAAACTGTGCGAAAATCAAAACTCCAACTCAAACCCGTACTGAACCCTTACTGAACCCATATTTTTAGCATAGAAACCTCGGGTTTGTGCCGAAACCTCGGCTTTTTCAAACCCGTACTGAACCCGTACTAAATCCATATTTTACCTGTATCAACTCATTATTTTTTAATGGGCTTGACCGGCCTGTATGGGAGTCAAATTTTGCATGGTCCGTGAGGGAGCATCGTGAACCGGGAAACAAAATGAAATCGTTGGACCAAACTTTGGTAAAATGGGTTGAAAGCAACACAGCAAAACCTCGGGTTTCCCTCAAGGACATCGAGTTTTTGGCGAACCCTTTAATTTTAAAGGTTTTGGTTGGTCAAGGTATATATATATATACAGTGCTATTGGGGAACAAAATGACTCTGGGAATTTTCCCCTATTTCTGCCCCAAAAAAATGTCAGGGCAGCCTTGCCGGGCCTTGTAAGCTGCGGGTGGTGGACTTGGGTTGGTCCCAGGGTTCATCACCATCTTCAGTTGAACCTGCACCGCCCAGCGATAGCATTGAGGTTTCCGTCATGGAGGTTTCCCCATATCCCCATAGAAAGTCATTGAGCTATAGCTGGATGGTTTTTCTGGAAAAGAACATTTAGATGATTTACAGCCCCATGACAATGACTTAAGGAAACCTGGTATATATATATATATATATATGGTTCAGTGCCTGCCAGCCCCCCCAATGGGGATGGGTGTTCAGTCTTGCTCCTTATGGTTCCCCCCCCGTGGCCTGTGGTGGTGGGGTGTTTGGGATGTTGGTGATGGGTGGCCAAGCTTGCTTCTTATGGTTCCTCCCCTCCCCCGCTGTGGCCTGGTGGTGGGGTGTTTGGGATGTTGGTGATGGTATGTGTGTATGTGTGTATGTGTGTATGTGTGTATGTGTGTATGTGTGTATGTATGTATGTATGTATGTATGCATGTATGTATGTATGTATGCATGTATGTATGCATGCATGTATGCATGCTTGTATGGTATGTATGGATGCCTGAATGCATGCATGGATGTAAGTATGTATGTATGTATGTATGTATGTATGGATGCATGCATGCATGTATGTATGTATGTGTGTCTGTGTGCATGTGTGTATGACATGTTTGTATGTATGTCTGCCTGTGTATGTATGTATATCTGTATGTATATAACAGTCCCCCCCAGTGGTGTGGCGGGGGTGTGGTACTGTCGGGGGGGTTGGAACGCTGGACCAAATATATATATATATATATATATGTAGAGAAAAGGAAGTAGATACAAAGCACATGTATATATTACTATAGGTAGCACGTAGGTACTTTGAGGGAGTATGTGTGCTACGTAGGTTGTCTAAAAGGTAGCATGTGCCTAGCAAATACGAGGCTGGACCTCAGAAATGCTGCCAATAGCTTGCAAATACAAGGGAAGGGGGTGCTACCTGGGGACCCATCCCATGGGGGGGCGGGAAGACGGGACACGGGACCATATATAAGTAGCTGGCAGCTGAATTGAGATTTATGCTATGCCTGTATGTTCCTCTGCATATCCATCATCAAAATCACCTAGTTAGGGAACATATACCGCCAAGGACCATCTGGAATATCGCCCCTTGCGCTGCGTTTGGACATGATGTTTGTTTTGAATGTCAGTTTGAGCCATCAAACATGGAGAACATCAATGTCATTGATAAATTGGCAATGAAATTATCGAACATTAGAAATAAGTAATAGAACATTAGTTGACAAAAATGCAGTGTATTACTATAAATATATATATATATAATTAAATATAGTATATACATATATTCCATTTAAACACATGGAGATTCTTGAATACTAAAATATGATACCTGGATTATTTTTCCACGACAAATGCGCGCGCGGATCTTGCACACCTCGCGGTGTGTAGATCGGAGGTAAAAACTGTCAACAAACACATAGACACATGAGATTCACCAATATATACATATACATATATATATATATATATGTATTATATACATGCAAAAACAAATAATTACAAATAAATACATTGTGTTAGGACTGCATGTATATATATATATGTGTATATATATATATAGAGAGAGAGAGAGACGGGGTGGTGCCCCCTCAGTTATAAATTGGCTTACTTATAGACACGAATCATTATAGGATCTACCATATACCGTATAATCCGTATATAGATGCAAATGGGTAGAAAGCCACTTAGGGTGTCAGAATGGGATAGTCATCATCATAGTAATATTTACAAGCTGGCCCCCTCTAGTTCGTGTTGTTTGTTGTTGGAACGTTGCTTTGTAAACCATAGTAACCATCCTAAATAGTGATGTTTGTTGTTGGTTTATAAGCCATATATAGTAACTAGTTCGATATATCTAGTAGTACCGTAAATCTTGATTATTGTAGTGATGCTGTGTTCACCAACTGAGCTATCGTTTGGCGGCCCCACATTGAGACGGAGATGGTGGAAATTTCGGACCCAAAGATCATCGAAAGGGCTGTCATCACATGGCGACGACTGGATGCGCATCCCAATGTGTCAATGGTTTACCGTCGGGTAGTGGCTAACACTTTGCCAACTGGTACAAATGGACCCTTTGGTTCAATGATTCACCGGATTAAAACTTGGTATGTTTTCAAAACTATGTTACATCCAAAGAGGATAATTGGTTGAGTTCACCCACAAAGAAATATGGTGATAAAAGCCGTTACAGTTATATTATAGACCGAAATACCAGTTATAAGTGCTAAGTCACCCCACTTAATTTATGGAATGTATAATCCCATAGAAATAACCAGTTATTTCGCCATTTATAATTGGTAGGTATTTCCGGCCATAACTGTAGCTGTTGTGTACTAAATCCTGGATGTCAGCCCCAGCCCTAGGGCCCTCGGCACCTGTTCTTGCAGAAGAAGTTGGTTCTTCAAGATTTCCTGAGGGCCCCATGTTCCTATGGAAAACAACATGGAGGAAACCAACGGTGTAACCATTGCCACATGGGAAATCACAATGTTACATTTATTTGGGTAAATTATATTGATTTACTGACCTGAAATAAGGCTGTCTTGGGGATCCTCTTAGTAACCATGATTCCACTGAGGTCGCAGTGAGGTCCGTGAGGTCGTTAAAATTTACCATATATTCACATACCTGTACAGGATGGGGCCCCCAAGATAGCGTTCAGTTGATTTATAAGTGGCTGAATTCAATGGTTTATGGTAGATATAACGAACTAGTTAATGGGGATTATTTCAGCGTTTATAAACCAACGTTCACATCACTGTGGGGCCCCATCCTGTAGTTTTCATATATTTTCCACGGTAGAACTGGGGTGCACCACCACCTTTCCGTTTCCGATTGTCCTACATCAAATTCCGAGAATCTCTGGGAACTTGACAGGTTCACTACCAGAAAGGACATAAGATCCATGAGATTCGCTCGGAAAATGGCGATTTGAATTAAAACATATTGGATACATGTAGAGAAAGTAAAAGGGACAATTGGGAAACCATGGGAAGAAAACATTGAGAAGAGGCTATTTGAATGGAATTTCAAGGGATTGTGTTTTTTTTCGGGGATCCTGGGAATCATAGGAGGGTGATAACCGCATGAAAACCTCAGTTGTATATAATGTATGTATGGAATATCCCGAATACTGCCCAATATATATACATATATATATATATGTTACACTGATGTGACACTGATGTGTATACCATATTTGTATATATTTGCCAAAGCTTTGATGGAGGAAGGGCATGTCAAGGTTAAAACTCAGAGTTTCAGTTTCAGTCCCATGGATGTTTGGTGATTGAGCGATGGACGCAATACTGGTATCCCCCCGTGTGCGTATATGTACACAGGTAAGACACACACATGCATATATATATTTAAAATTATCTGTATATATATATATGTAAAATTATCTGTATATATATATATATGTAATGTATATTTATATATAAACACAAATATATACATATGTATTTACATATACATACATGTGTATGTATATAAAGATATCTAAATACTTAATACATGAATGTCATACGTGCATGTAAAAGACACACACACATGTCCCAGCTGCCCCTGCAGAGTTGGTTGAACTTCTAGTGGCTCTGCGTAAGAAAACAAGGTGCTGCCCCCTCAGTTATGTAACGCTTCGTTTATAAACCCCAATAACTAACTATATTCCACTATATTCCTATAGCTACCCACATGCTCCATGTATGGTATATTTACGTACATTTGGGTGATTTTCAGGGCAAATGTTGGTAAATATTCCATAAATGGAGCGTATGGGTATAACATAATAATATAAGCCTGATGTTTTTCCGTGCTCATCAATTATAGGTTGGTTTTAATTCACCCCCATTAACTATACTTACAAGTCTCATAAACTCTACTTATTGTAGTTAAACGTTGACCGAGCTAGCGATTTCGTAAACGGTTTGTCGTATCATTGTCCAAGACTTCGCGTACCATCAAAGGGCTGGGAAACCCATTCGCATATCTTGTTTTTTTTAAATATATCACATGATCACTGGCCATCTCAAGAACCTAAATTGGAGGTACCTACCATATATAAGGCCTATATAAGGCCTATGTAAGGGAATATCCCCACAAAATATGGCCTTATATGGTGCAGTACCTCCATTTTAGGATCCTGAAATTCCCATTGACATGATCAGATTTGTAAAATTAGCATGTATATATATATATTCATCAAGTATATAACAGGCCATTTAGAACAGTAGTCACAAACATGTATACATCATATATGCTGTATATATATATATACATACATATCATAATCTCATATTTCATTTCCTATACGGTCGGTCATTCGGGCTCCGTTTCCGAACATTGTTGGTTTAGGTGGTGTCAGGCACCGAAACGACTGCAAAATGGTTGTTGTTATCCCGGTATGTCATGTCTATAGAAATAGTGATACATGGTATATATAGTTATGTATACATAGACATGAAATATATAAATATGGTTTTCACTAATATACGCTATGCAATGACTCATCTCATATATATATATACTGTACACAGTATATTTCAAAACACATACAAGGGTTTGTGACATCATAGCAATGCACTGTCCACTTTTTTTCCGACTTTTCATCCCAAAAGATCCGTGAAATCCAACCGGTGAAACGGTGAAACCCTCATATTTCATCATAGGCATTATCATATGTTTATATATTGTCTATATTCAGTGCATATATATATATTTATAATAATAACAATAATAATAATATACAATAATAATATATAATTATCCTAAAGAACATGGAATATATAAATTAAATATTTTTTTGAAACGCGCTCGAATTGGAACATGTTTGACACATCCGAAAAAATTTGGTGAATCCCATTAAATCCGACGTAGGAATACGTAGGATCCATCTAAATCCTATGGAATCCCATCGAAAATCCCATCAGATTCCCATGAAAAACCCTTATTAAACCCCTATTAAGCCCTATGAAATCCCAGCCGTCTCTTTTTCACACCTCAAGCAGGTAAACAACAGGAATCGAGACAACTGCGGATGATTCTACAAACCTCGATGATAGAAAATTAAAAACCCCTGTTAAAAACCCAAATCCTACTAGTGAAAATCCTATGGAATCCCATGAAAATCCCTATTAAACCCTATGAAATCCAATTTTTCGCCCCATTGAAATCACATTAAACCCCTATATCAAATCCCATTAAACCCTATGAAATCCTATGGAATCCCATGAAAATCCCTATTAAACCCTATGAAATCCAAATTTTCACCACATTGAAATCACATGAAAAACCCTTTGAAATCCTATGGAATCCCATTAGAACCCCATTGAAATCCAATGAAAATCCAAAACCACCACGGCCACTTCTCCACTTCTCCGAGCTACGATCTGCTGCTGCTGATCCTGAACCAACGCAAAATTATGGGAAAACCATAGGAAAATCCATTGGAAAATGGTGACTTAACTGAGAAACAATATGAAACTATAGGAAAATCATTGGAAAACCATAGGAAAAATGATGAGTCAACCAAGAAACAGTGTGATTTCATGGGATTTATAGCTGAGTTATGATGGCTCAGTTGGGGAACATAAGCCCAATCACTAGGGCTTATGGTACTTGTAACTAATATAGTTGATAGGATTGCATACCAATTTATAAGGTTAAGGGATCACTTAGAGCACCGGAAAGTGGATCACTTAGAGCACCAGAGAATCATACCTTTAGGGTAACACTTGGGGACACGAGGTGGGTTTAGGGGACAAGTGGGGACACGGGGCTGGGACATGGGGTGAGTTTAGGGGACAAGTGGGGACACGGGGCTGGGACATGGGGTCCTTTTACCCCAACCCCTTACTTGCGCACCCAAATTTCACCCACTTGCGCACCCTCACTCACTTGCGCACCCACGAGCAAAATGTCACTCACTTGCGCGCCCTGATCATCTGTCATTCATGTTCCCGTGGGGTAGGGTGGGGTGGGGTGGGGTAATAACGTTCATGTTCCTGTGCACACGCACAGCAACCTCATCATCTTTCTTGCTGTCCTGCAGGCACAGGCACTGCACTGCTCTTTCATGATCAGTTACCGGTGGGGGGGTGGGGTGGGGGGGGTGGGGCGATGTGGGGTGGGGTGGGGTGGGGTAATAACGTTCATGTTCCTGTGCACACACACGCACAGCAACCTCATCATTTTTCTTGCTGTCCTGCAGACACAGGCACTGCACTGCTCTTTCATGGTCAGTTACCGGTGGGGTGGGGTGGGGTGCGGTGCGGTGGGGTGGGGCACAGCAACCTCATCTTTTTTTCTTGCTGTCCTGCAGACACAGGCACTGCACTGCTCTTTCATGATCAGCTACCGGTGGGGTGGGGTGGGGTGGGGTAATAACGTTCATGTTCCTGCGCACACACAAGAAAACGGGCAAAACGTTCCTGCTACGTTGCAACATCTTCTTTAAGTAACTTGCCAAATGTTCCTGGTAGGTTGTAACTCTTCTTGAAGTAACTTGCAAAATGTCCCTGGTACGTTGCAACATCTTCTTCAAGTAACTTGCCAGATGCTCCTGATACGTTGTAACATCGTCTTCAAGTAACTTGCAAGACGTTCCTGATACGTTGGAACAACTTCTTCAAGTAACATGCAAGACATTCCTGCTACGTTGTAACATCTTCTTCAAGTAACTTGCCAGATGTTCCTGCTACGTTGTAACAGCTTCTGGAAGTAACTTGCAAGACGGTCCTGATATGTTTTAAAGTTTTTTCAAGTAACTTGACAGATGTTCCTGATACGTGGGAACATCTTCCTCAAGTAACTTGCAGAACGTTCCTGATACGTTGTAACATGTCAAGTAACTTGCAAGGCGTTCCTGCTACGTCGTAACATCTTCGTCAAGTGACTTGCAAGACGTTCCTGATACGTTGTAACATCTTCTTGAAGTAACTTGCAAGACGTTCCTGATACGTTTCTTCGTCAAGTAACGCCGAAAAGCGGATCGCATCGAATGTTATCGCGTGCTTCAGCGACATATGAATGCATCCATTTATGTGTCTATATGTCTCTGCGCAGATATGGAACTCCAGCGCTATGTATCTCTTATGTCACTTTTCGGCGTTCCAAGCGATCCACTTTCCGGCGCTCTAAGCGATCCACTTTTCGGCGCCCCAAGCGAACCCCCGACCAATTTATAACTAGTAACTAGGATTTTTGGGCATTATCCACCAACCATTAGACCCTTAGTTGTAATGGCTTATTAGACCCATTTCCCCCTTGTCAAAGCTGCCAAAAGCCACTTGTGAGTTCTACAACCACCATTTGATCACCACAAAATGGATAACCTATATATATATATATATCCGTATATTTATTATATATAATATATATATATATATATGTGAAATGCGGATTGTGGTACATATCACGACCATACATATGCCCATTTTTACACATATCATATCACATATATGGTCATTACCCCATTTTATACTATCCATTTTCATTGTATTGTTCCAACAACCCAGGTGCGCTTGGCGGGTAAATTGTGTAAATGTAGAAATACCACGGACGATTTCCCCCCAACAGTGGCTATCGGCTATCATTTATCCATGATCATCATGTGGACTAATGCTCCATGTAATTTCTTATCACATCTATGAGTGATAAAAGAAGCTGGCTGAATCTGACAAAAATGGAGGATGTCCTTTGCTTCCTAGGAGTTGTTACGTTGGCGGCCTGCGATGGCTTGGAACCAATCTACAAATCATCCCAACCCAGTGAACTCTCACTTATTGATGCTGAAAAATCCACTTAGCTGCTTAGATTCTAGGTGACTCCCAGTTTTCTTCGGGTAGCTCCCATTTTTCCAGTCAGAGAACCATGGTTTTTCCATGACGAATTCGCACCTGGATCATCTGCTGGAGCTGCAGGGTGGATTCTTGTTGCCGCAGCATCTCAAGTTCAAACCTCGGTGTTTTTTTTGCATCGGAGTTTCAAGGAGGTTTAAGATAGTTTAACCCCCTTCCCCCATTCATACTAGATTGGACTATATTAGGAATACAGTGGGACAATATGGGCATAGATATCCCCCTTAAAATTAATCTAATCCCTGGTGTGCACGGCTCCCATTTCGCAGAAGGCATAACCCTCCCCACTACAAAATGGTTCGGGGGGGCGTCTACAAAATGGCAAGGCATGAGTCTAGGGGACCCAAATGTCAACCCCAAGTGACCAACGCCCGAAGTATTTCAACTTTGCAGTCCTCGCTCATGTTGCTCGCAGCCTCTACTGTCAGCATCACGCCTTGTGCTGGGATGATCATGTTTACAGCAACAGTTTCGAATCAATGCTCTTCACCATTTGGTTTCGAATCTGGTGAAGTACAGCACGCGCTGTTGGCAGGTTTGGCCGGAGAGGGTCAGGTGCCTGGATGGCAACATCGTTGTGGCGATCCAGCAAGAGCAGCTGCATAGCCAAGATTTCCAGCGCGATTCTGTCTACTTTGGAGCAAACCATGCACCAATGTCAATGTCCAACATACAAGTTGTACCACCAAAGAGTCGACCTGCATCTTCCTTTCTGAAATCTGACAAGAATTACCCATCCACCAAAACAAGCGAACCAGCACTTCCTTTGACTTCTCCAAGAGCAATATGAGTCACTTTGTTATTAGGGGCTATCAGACCGATCACGGAAATGTGTTCCATCAAACACAGAGTTCTCCACATAACTCCCTCTTCCATAGCCCTCACAATACTGAAACTACCTACAGAGCTGACTCTCAAAGCATGGTCACTTCCTGCAGCCACATTACTTTGAGCGTCCTCTTTTGTTAAGACAGAACTATCCATCCTAACTGTTGAAACTGAGCAACAAGCACTATACGCACACACTTCGATGCCCTGCTGACGTGGTCCTTCTGACCCGTGGCCAGTTGAGATGTCTGAGTGCCTATCCAAACATCCAAATTCGCGACCTTTTTGGGGTGGTTTAATACAGCTGTAGTAACTTAAGATGCTGTAACTAAGCCTCAGATTTGAACTGATTGGGGTAGCCTTCTGGACCCTCAAATGGCTAGCTTGAGGATCTAGAATACTATGCTTTCTTCATTTCGATGAGAATCAAGAATCAAATTCATTGGAATCTACCAATTATATATCTAGATATATTAGATATAATATATTTGCGAAATCGAAAGATACAAAAAACAACTAGAACAACAAATCATGAAAATCATGAGATTTCAGGGAACCAAAAAAAACAGGAAAGCCATTGTGACGGTCTGACCTGTTTCTGTCCCATTCCGCCAGGGCCGGTGCAGCCGGGGCAGCCGGTGATTTTGAAAATCAATTGGGAACATTTTTCCAAGCCATCCAACTGCAATGAACTGCAATGAACTGTGTATATATATATATAATCATATAATATAATATCATATATATATATATATGGAGGTTTCCTGAAATGAGGGTACCCCGCAAAAATCATCCATTTCTTTGGGATTTTAGTCACTAAAAATACTACCCAGTTTAGGACGCCCCCAATATATACACATCATTTCTTACTGGCGCTAAACGTAGAGAATGGATGGGTTGCTAGGGGTTGCTGGGATTATTATGACTAGTGATGAAATTGATCATTCCCGAAAATTCCCTACGTTTAGCATCAGTAAGTCATTTACAGCTTTTGTTTTCCCCATTTAAGTAAAAAAAAGTTGGTTTAAAAAACATGAAATAATCCCCAGTAACTATAGTTACCCTCTGGTTATTTAACATAGCCATGGAAGCCATGGCCCATGGAAATAGATGGTTTACCTAGCTATAAAATGGTGATTTTCCATGGCAAACTGTTAGATAACCAGAGGGTATATCTACCATAAACCATAGTGGTTCACCCTGACGCTTAACGCGTCATTTCCCAGCGATTTTCCCATCAAAATCCCCCGATTTTCGCAACGACCCAAGTGACATCTTCGGCAACCACGCAGGCGGTGTCCCTGGTGTCACATGAGATGACATAAACCACTGGGAACACCATAGGAAAACCATAGGAAAACTATAGGAAAATGGTAACTTAACCAACAAACAATGGTGATTTTGTGTGGGTTTTCGTAGCTGATTTATGATATACTTCATGGGGTGTATAAACCAACTTAGAACCAACTTTTGATAACAATGTAATTAATCATGGTACTTACCAAGAAATAGTTGGGATTTCACCATTAGAACTAGGAAATTTCATAGAAATATAGCAATCATAACTTCGGTAGGCTTATAGCAGGTATGACTCATATGACGTCAGCGCAGTTCACGTTTTTTTCACGGGTCAATGCATGACTTTCTTGCGGATAGAAGAAAAGCACTTCGAACTGAGACATGCAAACAAACACCCATGGGTTAAGTATAATATTTCACTAACCTGAATTAAGGCCATTTGGGGATGACTTCCCTTATTAACCATGATTCCAGGGTTCGGGAGGACAGGGTTCGGTCGTTATAATGTAGACAGATTAGATTGGTTGGAAAATCTTCACCGGAAACCATTCATTTTCCCATGACATTGATTGGGGTAAATCCAAGTAATACAGTTATGGCCGTTAATTAATTATAAATGGTTATAACAGGTTACTGTATTTCTATGGGATTATACTTTCCATAAATGGGGTTTTTCTAGTACTTATAACTGGTATTTCGGGCCATAGCTGTATATGATATGTGTAATATACAGTAATATATAATAAAATTTCATATCTAAAACTACCCAAGCTGAAGGCCATTTGGGGACAATTCCTCCATTCTGAACACCGTCAGCTTCCAGTGTTGTCGCAGTGAGGTTGCTAAACTTAATCATATGTCCAGTTTATCCTCATTGGTCGGCGTCTGATACCCACATAAAACACCCGTTTCAAATTCAATGTTAAATCCCCATTATTGTCTTCATTACATGTCCATTTGTACATAGTGGTGCCCCATAGTTGGCTAAGTTGGTTTGCAACTACAATAAGTAGGACTTATGGCAGATATATCGAACTAGTTGATGGGGGTTATAAACTAACTTATAATTGGGGGGTACCACATTGTATGTATATATTTATATAACCCCCGGTCGTACCGGTCAAAAGGGTCCAGTCCTGGAAAAAATGCCTTAAATCGTTTGGTCCACAACCTTTTGGAATTGATTTCCAAAGGGTACAACCCAACGGATTTAGCTCCGAAAAGCCAACAACCAAGTTGCAATTTCCCGGGCAAACAAATTAAAATCCTGTTCCACAACCTTTATGTGGACTAACATTTCTCCTGGTCCACCATTGCGCTGACACAACTCTTTTCCTGGGCCATAACCTTTATGATGATACATGTGTACCTACCCCATTCAGATCGTCAAGTCGACTGAATTGGAAGATCACGACCTTTCAAAAACTGCTGAGGGTTTGGCATAAACACTTTTCTTGTCATATCATTCAAATCCTGGGTCACAGGGTTTCCACCGGCTCCATCATTTTTTTGCTCGCATGCTGTCAAGATCTGTCAAGATTCACTCAATAGATGGTCTTTCAATGGCTCATAACTGTTCATAATTAAAATCCAGTGAAGCTATCGGATTCAACCTTTTTACAAACCACTGAAATGCATTAAAAAGTAAGATCACAACCTTTATGTAGATCCTACCTTCTCCTGTTCGGCAGATTGGCCCAGAGATTTTTTTCCTGTACCCCAACCTTGTTTGGGAAACCATGCAATCCTTGCAAGCAAATCCCCAAAACATATAAAATCCTGTGGTACAACCTTATGTTACTAATCCTGCTTTCCTGGCTCCAACATTTGTTTTCCTGAACCCCAACCTTGCAACATCCATGCTGGAATGATTTTTTCCTGACTTGGCATTTTTAATTTTCGGACTGGACCTACAAGAAAAAAAATCTGGTCCAACGGGGGCTTTTATATATATATTGCCTTTCTGTATCGATAACTGAACCAAAGGGGAAACCTGACCACACTGAGCACCTGACATAGTACATAGGGAGACAACCCACACACCAAAAACAAATAATTTAAGCGCAAACAGGTTGATTTGAACAACCAAGATATGCTGAAAGGAAGGTTTAACTTACAAACATGATCAACCATAATACGGATTCAATCTCTATACAATACTTTGAATTTAGCTTAGAGTATGTTTTGCTTTCAATCATAAGACTATAAATGAAGTTTACTAGTGAAAGAACATCATCCAGAACCAACAATGGCCCCCTAAGTATTCTGGCACAACCAAAGTTGGGGGCCATTATTGCTTGATTCACGCCTACAGTTGGAACATGGGTATATACTCCAGTCTATCCACTGTTTTTTTTTCAGAGCTACCCTCTGGTGTCCTAAAATGATAGTCTTAATGGAACATCATCTATACATGGGGCATATTCCATTGCAACGGTTGATTACCGGAAGGTATATCATATGTCCTGTTTAGACAATGCAATCCTGGCAATCGAAGCATGAAAAATAGCCCTCCGTCCCATGAGACCAGTTGGCTCACCAGAATCCCATGGGCCATGGGCCAACCCCAAGTTTCTATTCATGCTTGCATAACCACATTTTACTGCAGTCTATAGGTATCATAAACCACAATCTATAGTTATAGATATCATAAATCACAGTTATTGTAGGTATAGTTGGTGTCCCCAAGTCAACCACAAATACCAAGATATACGTAGTCTAGCTGATTCGGTAAAATCCCATGAAACTGCAGGCCAACTGGGGCAAAGTGTCCGATCATTTTAGTTGTTGGTTTATGCACCTTGCAACATCTAACTGCGATAACTGTGGTGTATGATACCTGTAGCTAACTGCGGTATGTCATGGTCATTGGTCATTGGGCTTAAAACCAACAAACATAACATTTGGGAACTATGTCATGGTCATGGGGTACCAACAAACGTGCAACAAAAATAGGAGACCCCCACCTTGAAGGAACCTTCAACAACCACTACATTAGCCATACTAGACGACGGATGGCCCGAGAGCGTAGAGGAGCAGAGTCTTCTGTTGTTAGTATGGAGACACGCTTTTTACACACAGGCTCTTTTACACACAGACGCTTTTACACACAGAAGCTTTTACACACACAGACGCTTTTACACACAGACCCTTTTACACACAGACGCTGTTACACACAGACGCTTTTACACACAGACGCTTTTACACACAGAAGCTTTTACACACAGACGCTTTTACACACAGACACTTTTACACACAGACCCTTTTACACACAGACGCTTTTTACACGCAGGCGCTTTTACACGCAGGCGCTTTTACACACAGAAGCTTTTACACACAGACCCTTTTACACACAGACGCTTTTACACACAGGCGCTTTTACACACAGACGCTTTTTACACAAACACTTTCACACGCAGACGCTTTTACGCACAGACGCTCTTTACACACAGGCTCTTTTACACACAGAGACTTTTACACACAGAGGCTTTTACCCGCAGAGACTTTTACACACAGACGCTTTTACACACAGAGACTTTTACACACAGACGCTTTTACACACAGACGCTTTTACACACAGACGCTTTTACACACAGACACTTTTACACACAGACGCTTTTTACACACAGACGCTTTTTACACACAGACACATTTGACACACAAACACATTTACACACAGAGGCTTTTACACACAAACACTTTTACACACAGACGCTTTTACACACAGACGCTTTTACACACAGACGCTTTTACACACAGAGGCTTTTACCCGCAGAGACTTTTACACACAGACGCTTTTACACACAGAGACTTTTACACACACAGACGCTTTTACACACAAACACTTTTACACACAGACGCTTTTACACACAGACGCTTTTACACACAGACGCTTTCTACACACAGACGCTTTTACACACAGAGGCTTTTACCCGCAGAGACTTTTACACACAGACGCTTTTACACACAGAGACTTTTACACACAGACGCTTTTACACACAGAGACTTTTACACACAGACGCTTTTACACACAGACACTTTTATACACAGACGCTTTTTACACACAGACGCTTTTTACACACAGACACATTTGACACACAAACACATTTACACACAGAGGCTTTTACACACAAACACTTTTACACACAGACGCTTTTACACACAGACGCTTTTACACACAGACGCTTTTACACACAGAGGCTTTTACACACAGAGGCTTTTACCCGCAGAGACTTTTACACACAGACGCTTTTACACACAGACCCTTTTACACACGGACGCTTTTACACACAGAGACTTTTACACACAGACGCTTTTACACACAGACACTTTTACACACAGACGCTTTTACACACAGACGCTTTTACACACAAACGCTTTTACACACACACACACACGCTTTTACACACAGACGCTTTTTACACACAGACGCTTTTTACACACAGACACATTTGACACACAAACACATTTACACACAGAGGCTTTTACACAGAAACACTTTTACACAAACACTTTTACACACAAACACTTTTACACACAGACGCTTTACACACAGACGCTTTGACACACAGACGCTTTTACAGACAGACGCTTTTACACACAGAGACTTTTACACACAGAGACGCTTTTACACACAGAGACTTTTACACACAGACGCTTTTACACACAGACGCTTTTACACACAGACGCTTTTACACACAGAGGCTTTTACCCGCAGAGACTTTTACACACAGACGCTTTTACACACAGAGACTGTTACACACAGACGCTTTTACACACAGAGACTTTTACACACAGACGCTTTTACACACAGACACTTTTACACACAGACGCTTCTACACACAGACGCTTTTACACACAAACGCTTTCTACACACAGACGCTTTTACACACAGACACTTTTACACACAGACGCTTTTACACACAGACGCTTTTACACACAGACGCTTTTACACACAGACGCTTTTTACACACAGGCGCTTTTACACACAGACAAGTCCGGCACAAGTAAAATCGCAATTTTACCTCAGTTTTTGACGATCGACCCTCATTTCGTGCGAAAGGGTTGCTCCGGCACAAGTAAAATCGCAATTTTTCCTCAGTTTTTGACGATCGACCCTCATTTCGTGCGAAAGGGTTGCTCCAGGACAAGTAAAATCGCAATTTTTCCTCAGTTTTTGACGATCGACCCTCATTTCGTGCGAAAGGGTTGTTTTAGCACAAGTAAAATCGCAATTTTTCCTCAATTTTTGACGATCGACCCTCATTTCGTGCGAAAAGGTTGCTCCAGGACAAGTAAAATCGCAATTTTTCCTCAGTTTTTGACGATCGACCCTCATTTCGTGCGAAAGGGTTGCTCCGGCACAAGTAAAATCGCAATTTTTCCTCAGTTTTTGACGATCGACTCTCATTTCGTGCGAAAGGGTTGCTCCAGGACAAGTAAAATCGCATTTTTTCCTCAGTTTTTGACGATCGACCCTCATTTCGTGCGAAAGGGTTGCTCGGGGACAAGTAAAATCGCAATTTTTCCTCAGTTTTTGACGATCGACCCTCATTTCGTGCGAAAGGGTTGACGTTTCGTGACTCGCCGCCGGCACCACCCTCGGCCTTAAGAGAGAAAGATAAAGAAGGCGAGAGAGAGAAAAAGGGGAGAGAAAGGAGAGAAGATGTGAAGGTGAGAAGATGTGAGAGAAGGTGTGAAGATGAGCAGACGTGAAGATGAGCAGATGTGAGAGAAGATGTGAAGATGAGCAGATGTGAGAGAAGATGTGAGAGAATATGTGAGAGATGAGCAGATGTGAGAGACGGTGTGAAGATGAGCAGATGTGAGAGAAGATGTGAGATGTGAAGATGAGCAGATGTGAGAGAAGATGTTAGATGTGAGAGACGGTGTGAAGATGAGCAGATGTGAGAGAAGATGTTAGATGTGAGAGAAGGTGTGAAGATGAGCAGATGTGAGAGCAGAGAGAGAAGATGTGAAGATGAGCAGATGTGAGAGCAGATGTGAGAGAAGATGTGAAGATGAGCAGATGTGAGAGAAGATGTTAGAGAAAATGTGAGAGAAGATGTGAGAGAAGATATGAAGAAAGATGAGCAGATGAGAGAAGATGTGAGAGAAGATGTGAGAGAAGATGTGAGAGAAGATATGAAGAAAGATGAGCAGATGAGAGAAGATGTGAGAGAAGATATGAAGATGAGCAGATGTGAAGATGAGCAGATGTGAGAGAAGATGTGAAGATGAGCAGATGTGAAGATGAGCAGATGTGAAGATGAGTAGATGTGAAGATGAGAAGGTGAGATACAGACCCCCACTATTGGAAGAACCCTGCGCTCAGACGCTCTCGGGAATGAATTGAATCATATTGGAAAAACAAAAACTAATGTAGTTTTATATGGGCAGCTGGTTGGTTAATGGTGGTTAATAGTGGTTAATGGTGGTTGATAGTGGTTAATAATGGTTGTATAATTATGGCTGGTTGGTGGTTGGGCCCTACCCATCTGAAAAATGATGGACTTCGTCAGTTGGGATGATGACATTCCCAATATATGGAAAAATAAAATTCATGTTCCAAACCACCAACCGGGCGATAATAATTTAATGGGCAACCATGAACATGATTTATTAGTTATATGGGCTAAATTCAACATGTTCATGGTAGTTAAACAAATGATGATTATAGCAAGCATTTTTGCCCATTCAATCTTCAACCATTATCCCGCTCAATCAATAGTTCATGGATTAATGGACAATTGCTTGGATGCAACTAAAGATATGGATATGTGGATAGTGAGCCAGTATCCATCACTATGTTTTCTAATTCAATCTGGGCAAATTATATTACCCGATTACCCTCTGTTATTTAACATTGCCATGGAAAATTGCCCATTTATAGATGTTTTTTTTAATGATTTACCTATTAAAAATGGTGATCCTCCATATTTACGTTAAATAACCAAAGGGTCATTCACCATAGATGCCTAATACATCAAAAATCCATCTAGTTGATATGCCAATAAATATTTGGTGGCTCATCCCACTTAGCAAGTAGGTTATAACATGTTATAACCCCAGTTGCAAGTGGGATAAGAAGCGTTAATCCACCTATAACTTGGGTTACAAACTAGTTACTAAGTGGGATGAACAACGAAAAACCATTCTATTCCCATTCTATTATTGTTGGTTATATTCCCATTCTATTCCCATGATATTCCAATAAAACCATCTACTCTCCAGTAAACTAACAGTTCCACCCTGGTTGGAAGATGAGTTCCTCTCTTAAAAATTGGTGATTTTCAGGGTCGAACTCTTAATTTACCAGAGGGTTTCCATGAAATATACACGTATGGCCCACCAGTTCTCAGTCAGTTATAACTTCTAACCCCATTTATGGAAGAGGAACCGCATTTATAACGAGTTATAACGAGTTATAACTAGTAAAGGGCCATAGTTGTGTAGTGCCTTCATGGCCCAATCCCCGCCTGTGGCCACATCGACGACGTCGACGTTCTCCTGGGAGAGCCGGAGCCACTTTGGGGCCACTTGGGCGGTCAGCGGGCTGCGAACGTTTTGGGTCAACGAAGGACCGTTGTGATCACCGCTTGCAACTGGTTATATAAGTTATACAGTGAAATTCATGGGGTAAAAACCACTTTTTTGGGGGTGACTTATAGAGTATTTATCTATATTGGTTATATAGCACTGGTTTTTTTCATGGAATTTCCATAGATGGGGTGACTTGCTGACCTCTAATTGGTATAACTCGGGCCATAACTGTGGGTCAACGAAATTGGGTTGGTCAGCTTGATACGTGATTTACTGGTTGGTGGTATAAATACCACTGGGAAAAATATGAAAGTTAGTTGGGATGATGACATTCCCAATACATGGAAAAAAAAATATGTGAAACCACCGACCAGCATTTGTAAAGTTGGAATACTTTCTGGTATTTTATCAACTTGGAAACTGGAAAATCATCATGATCATAGGTAAATTATCGAATTAAATGGGCCATCTATACCATAGCAAACTGTTAAATTGCCAGAGGGCCTTTTTTTTATATTTTGTAGCCGCACTATAATTATAAATGATTGTTCTATCAAAAAATTGGCCTAAATTACCAAAACATATGCCATCAAGCGATGGAAAACCCCCCACTTTTGAAAATGCAACCATCTTAACTGTTAATATTCAAAATTACAGCTGGTCTGAAGTCGTGCTTAAAAAATGCGCAGTTCTTTGTGCCGGGGACGAACTGCGCCCATTCTTTAACGTGAACTTTGTATATATATATATATATATATTGACTGCCTAGTTGACACTCTCTCTGTTTAGTGCTCAGATAGAATCCACAATATATTAGATAGACACATGCTTACTATTCTTAGACACAACACTCTCTCTGTTTAATTATTTAGTGCTTAGATAAAAAAAAAGATAGACTCCACATGTTTATTCTTTGACACTCCCCGAATCTCTCACGGCTGCACGTGTCACATAGTGTCACATAGAAGGTGAGACCCCGCAGGGAACTAACTCATTTAGTTGGTTTATAACTCCAAAACCTATGGCTTATGTTACCTATATAAACCAACGTAAACTAAACAAAAAAACGATGTTTATAGTGGAATATATACAATGTGGGGCCCATGATAGCTAAGTTGGTGAACATAACGTCCATAACTATGGCTTATGATACACATACCCTCTGGTGAACTAACATAGCAATGGAAAATCACCATTTTTCATGGGAAAATCCACTATAAATGGCCATTTTCCATTGCTATGTTAGTTCACCAGAGGGTAACTACAGTTCATGGGGCCCACATAAACCAATGTATAACTGGGGAGCCCACAGAGCTGAGCCATGTCATCCCAATTGGAGGTTTGTCAAAGCGGTTTCAACCACGTTTTCGTCAAAGCAAAAAACGTGGGATCTATAAACCGACAACCATAACCCGTGGGTTTATAACAAATATAACTATGGTTTTTTTAGATATGCTGCATATATATTAAATGTAAATATATATATATATATATATATTATATTATGTATATATTATGTATATATCTTGCTTAATTATTGGCTAATTCACTAACTGGGTAATTAACCTGAATCCTAGCCAGCATTCCAGTAACGTCACATTGAGGTCATATAATTTGAGTCCGTGTCTTTGTGGGAGTGCGCTTTTTGCTGAGTTTTATGTATTAAGTAATGTAGAACATGAGTCACTTTGAACATTTGTTTTTGTCAGTCTTAGTTTTGAGGCTTCGCAGTTGTAGAGCTATATATAGGTATGTATTGCGGAAGAACCTTTGGCTTCAAATCCTGTGTCTATACGGTGCATATCCAAGTCTGGACATCAGGCAACAATAAACTACAAGGACCTGAAAGCAAACCCGTCAAACAGCTGGGACAAATCAGTTTGATAGAAATATGCTGCAATACAACCGTTTTTTTGCCATGAACTTTTAAATTGAGTCAATGAATATCAAAGAGACGTGGAAATCAAGTTTGTCTGGTTGCGCCATGCTCAAATGATAAGGTGGTGTTTGTTTCTATGCCGCATGTCTTTATAGCAAACATGAACAAGAAGAACCAAAACTTTTGATTGACAGGATATTCTGAATCTTCCTGACAGAGTTCCCTGCATTCATAAAGACATGTGGAGCATGTTGTAAGGATAAGCATGCTGTTCTCTTGAATAAACCGGACCTGTGTTTGAAAACATGGTATCAGCTCAGATTTGAAGGGCAGCATGCTTCTCATTAGTTATCATTTGAAAGAATGTGGCATTCCTCAAGGAAGTTGCGACAAACCTCCATGTAACATTCTCCTACAGAGAGGGCAACATTCCTCTGATAAAGTGTAGCATTACTGTGAAGCAGCACCCTGAGATGTGCACAGCATTCCTTTCGAAAGAGTGCATCATGTCCTCCATATATATTGGAACAAATATGGTATTTCTTCTATAGAGGTAGTAGTCTTGTCAGAGAAGGGTAGCATCTCTCTAAGATAGAATTTGAACAACACATTACTGTTTCAAACGTGTGGCATTCCTTTAATTAAGAAAGTATCTGATGACTTCATGAAATGTATTATTAAGTTAAACAATGGTGTTATGCAATCTTCCTTTGAAAAAACAACATTCATTTGGAACAAATATATCATTTTAAGCTAACAAAATTTACCATATGATATTATATTGAAATATGTCACTGTTTATACATATATACTATACACAGTATTCCTTTCAAAAGTGTGTGGCATTCCTTTGAGGAAGTAGCCTTCATGACTCACAGCAGTCCTTGTGAAAGAGTATGGCCTTGTTTAAGTTCATGTACTTACTAGAGGGAACCCTTTCATATGTATATATATATATATGTATAGCAATCCCTTTGAAAAAGGGTGATGTTTCTGTAAGAAAGTGCAGTGTCACTCCATTGTTTTTTCATTTAAACAAGCATCATGTTCCTTGCAGAAACCCGAGCATTAGTTTGAAAGGGCATTATTCAATAAGCAGTTGCACTTTAAGATACCATGGTATTCCTTGAGGACAGTGCGGCATGCCTTTATGCAGGTTTCCTTGCAACAGAAGGCCATAGTTTATTTATCATTTGTCAATTACACCCCCATATCTTTATTTTTTTGAAAACCCATAAAACCCACTATAACTGCTGGCTGAATAGAACCCACACTCTATTCCATCAAACTGTCGTTTGAAAAAAAACAACACATCAATGTCATATTCACATAACATGCTAGTAATCATCCGCCACACACACAAAAAAAAAAGAACACAACCGGTGACGTATCGCCCTCTCCCACACATTGGCTCATGGTAGGCCTGCAGCCCATTGATCTCAGTTTTCTCTTCCTTCTCAGGTTTTGCGAAACCTCAGCGACTGCATTTTCCACATTTTGGGGGAGACCCATCTGGATGCTGTGAGACCAAATGACATGACATGTGAATCATGTGTAATTTACCTTTGATACACATGTTGCTATGTTACTATCAGGTATTTGTATCTTATATAGTTCAATGAATTGTCGCTGATACTAGATAGTATACCATACAAGTCTCTCTGCTTTTCCACAAAGGACAATATTCAAGCTGAGCAACTGATCTGGGTGTCAACGAGATTGAACGAAGCAACAATAAAAAGCTCGCGCAAAGTACTTCCCATGTTGGTTTACCAAACGGTTAGCTGGTTTGTGTTAAGCTTCCTTAGTAAAATGATGAGCTAAATGCGACCCCTATATGTTACCCGCACTGATCGTGCTAGTCAAATCACCTGGCACACAAGTAACTTAGCCACATGATTAGGATTGCTATAGTAAGTGTTCCTTAAAAAAACAAAACATGGTTCATGCTAGTTGGTTGGCTGGCTATTTAATGGCCATTCAAATCGATAAACCCAACAGCTAACAGCAGTGAACAAAAAAGCAACGCGTTGCGCGATTCGGAACAACCACCTTGTGGATCCTTGTGGGATATAACTACTGACTGATATATAACTTATATAACCTTAAGTAGAAATGACGGATTTCTTTCGATAATTTAATTTTTGGGGTTTGTCTGAAAAGTAGGCACCCTCAATCTCAAAATCCGATGTGTGTTTTTTCATACTCTCTATTAAAATATAGCCATTTGGGGTTGGACATGCTTATACACCATTTTCAGAGATCCTCAAACGCAACCAAAAAGCATGACGGCTAGTTACGGCTAGTTTCCCAAGAGAAAAAAAAGCAGGTGAATATCGTGGACATGTTGCAGAAAACGAAAACCTGGGACCTATGCCTGAACTGTTCCCGCAATATGGCGGCATGGAATCAATGGATCCTTGACTTGTCACTCGTCACCAACAAGAACAGGTCTGTGATTTCAAATGACAACAACACACATTTACCTGCCACTATTTGCCACTAGTATGTTTCTTGTTTCAAACACATGCCAACAACGGTTCATCTCTCGCTGTTGAAACAGTTGCCAACTGTGATTCATAAAGTAACCCCCAAAAACATAGGCAACAGGATGGGGCCCCATAGTTATAATGCGGCTTATAAACCATTGTAAACCATTGTAAACCCCAATAACTAGTTCGTGAAATATCTACAATGTGAGGCCCCCCAGTTATAAGTTGGTTGATAAACCCCATTAACTATAGTTATAAGTACCATAAACCATAGATACTGGAGTTATAAACCAACTTAGCTATCTCGGGGGCCTCACATACCATAAACCATATTCAGCCGCTTATACTGGATGGTCCATGCCCGTGTGGGCCAAGTCACCGATGGTGCGACGTAAGTAGTTTGCCCCGTGAGCAAAAGTGCAACTCTCCGCACTTTCCGGGCCTAGGCCCAGCCCGGTCACCCACGAAGGACAGTGGGAAACCAGGGAAGAAAATACCTTTGGTGATGAGAAACCATTGCATTTTACCATAGGGAAATGGTAACTCAACCAAGAAACAAAATTGAGATTTCAACCAGGATATACAGTGAAGATGATTCATGATATAGTTAATTCATGCCAACTCCGTGAACATAGCTACAAAAAAAACGTTTGTGTTGATGAATGGGCAGGGCAATATAACCAACTAGTAAGATAGATATTTATAAACCAACACTCCATCATGTTTGGGGGCACCACCTTGTACCATTGCAATCCATTGCATACCTCCAACCTATGGTTGGTCATATCTCAGTATGATTCATAGTTTTCATCATATCCCATGTGCCAGCAAAATTATTGGTGCATGTTGGTGTTTTATGTCCCTATGAAACATGGTGCATGTCTATGGTCATCCATAGCATGTTTATTGTTTCAATAATTATAATATATATATATATATATTATATTATATTATAAAAATATGTATATATATATATACCCCAATGGGTTTATGAACCCCCCGCGTAAGCTAATCAAGTACGGGGTTCGTTTGAAAAAACACAACCTTCACGGCAAATAAAAGCGGCAAAGTGGACGAAGTTGGGTTTTCTGCAGAGATGCGGGATATGTGTTCCACCCATTTTTACATGCTTACCCTCCGGCGATCAAATGTGGCAATTTGAAATCCATCACTTATAAGTTGCTTTCCCATCAACATCTCCATATTTATATCGGATTCTCCAATTGCCACGTTTGATTGCCAGATGGTAATATTTCCTTCGGCGAAACATGTTCCGCGGCATTGAATTTAGCAAACCAATTTATCTCTTCCCTATTTTGGCATTCACTCCAGAAGACATCGTTTTTGGTGATAACATGTTTCTACATGTCTGATGACCAAATCCACGGTCTTGTGCATGACACTTTGGCACCTATAGTAGTGGTTTTCACAACAAGGTAGACATTTATCGACAGAGTCAGACACATTTCCATGGCTACATGGTGATTCGCAGTCGCAACACCGCTGCGAAGTTGGATCTTTATTCCGGTGATTTCCGGTGCACCATCAGAAAACTTGAATTTTAGATTACTACAGGATGGGGCCCCCAGTCGATAGCGTGAACCGTTGGTTTTATAAGTGGCTTAACTATGGTTTATGGTAGATATAACTATAGTTAATGGGGATTATTTCAGGGTTTATAAACCAACTTATAACTGTGGGGCCCCATCCTGTACCAATGAGTCTTTTTTTGAAAACAAGTTGCAGAAAACCTTCTGACAAGTCAGCAGATTCCATCCAGCAGATTCCATCCCTTTGGTTTCCGAACAGTCACCTTGCACCCACCTGAAACAGCTGGATCCAACTGCTCAGATTGATGTTGATGTTGATGTATATCAAAAAAATGGTTAAAAAACTAATAAAACATTTCATTTTTTCACCAAAAAAAATCGATGGTGTAGACTTTTCCCAAATGGGTGCGGTTATGGCCCGAAATGCCAGTTATAAGTACTCATAACCCCAATTATGGAATGTATTAATCCAATAGAAATAACCAGTTATAACCACTTATCATTGGTATTTCCTGCCATAACTGTGGTTTACGACATTGGTTTACCCACAGTATTCACGCTTTGATGAACGAAACTGAGCAGCGTTCAAGACCACTGTCGTCCATGATCAGTTGATGTTCTCAGGTTACGGATTTCCCTTGGCCCGTATCCCATATGCTCCATCATGGTGCTGGAATATTTCGCAACATTTGCCCTTGTCCAAAATCACCCAGTCATGTACGTAAATATACCATGCACCATGGTTCGCATATGGGTATGGTGAGCAATCCCCTGTCCTGGATAGTAAAAGACATCCAAAAAAATACCCGAGTTTTGGGGTCATGAAACATTTCCTGGATTCCAAAAAAATCCGAGTTTTGTTGAAACATTTTGCAAAATCCACCACATGATGTTCGATGATTTTCCGCATAGATTTTGCCATGGTGATGAAGTTGTTTTGTATCAAAAAATCTGATGTGAAATGCTGGTAAAGCAACAGGATCCACCGTCTTTTTTTCTGCCATTTTTGTTGGGTGGTGTAGAGTATGAACCATGAAAACATGGGCGATTTGTTGTTGCTTTGTGAACATTAGCTTGATTTCGTTTCTATCAACAAGGTCAGATATGAAGCTGTATTTAGCTAGCATGATCATCCGACATCTCCAAGTAGATACACAACTATACAGTATATTCATCATCACTTGTTACGTTCCCTGGTAATCTTAACCTGGACTTGAAAGTTCCACGATGAATATCACCAAATTTCCAAAAAACATGGGATTTCACGTTTTTTTTGGCAACATTGTGAAAGCACTGCGGTACCAAGCTGAGTCGAATGAATTGTTAATGATCATCGTGTTGAAGATATCCAGTAGGCATTGCAGTAAATCTTCTCCGGCATAAATGATCATCTCGGCCACAATGCCGTCTACATCGGCACACCGTCCAAATTTCATTGATGAGACCACCCTCTTGTCACTTGCCCTTGCCGCCACCCTTCACCGCTATCAGCTTGCCCGTCAGCCACTCGTCGATCCAACGGCAGTTGCCGTGCGCCTCCTTCACAGCCTCCACGGCCAGTCGATTCACGATCAGACCCTCGGGTGGCTGTTTGCCACTCATGACGACCCCCGCCCAGTTTCCCGAGTACGCCGAGATCTCAATCCGGGACCGATTATCCTCAGCCGCAGCCTCGGTCGGTCTCGGGCGCAGGAAGAGCCCCGGCATAAGATCGAAAAGGTGGGGTATATATATACATATATATACATGATTATACATGCATATCCTAAAGATCTGCAAGGTAGGTCTGAAGATTCATTCCACAGATATTTGCCCTAGGCCGCCCCTAGGCCGCCCGCCACAAACATCGTTTCTCTATAGGGATATCTTCTGTTTGGGAACATGTCATTCTCCGTGTTGATGGGAGAACAGGATAGATCCACATGCGAACGAAATCTCGAGATTCCACATATGGAGGTTTCCTGAAGGGGTAGCCTATTTCAATCATCCATTTTAGATTCATTTTAGTGGACTTTTCCATTACAAACCATTTATTCTTGGTAAATTATAATATTTCACTAACCTGCATAGTTCGGCCACACGCTTCCGTTCGGTCATGCCAGCCCCCCGCAGCTGCCAAGGGTGGACATGTTCAGGGTCCTGAATGAAAGAAATTAAATAAATAAAAAAAACGCACCACAGACCTGCAAAGAAGTGAGATGGGCCCCAACCAAGCGCAGCAACAAAAGAGTGAAGAAGGGAATCACGAATAGGAAACCAAACAAGTCTGATTGATGCCAACATACCACAGTGTAAGTTCATCTCATCTTTGTCGGGTCTGCTTTATCTGCTTGCGTCGGATATGGTATCGACGCATCCTAGCCGCCTGGGTATCTCCAGGTGGTAGGGTAACGTGGGAAAGAACACACGGTTCTTGTCTAGGCACTGTTGGCCAAGTGTCAAAACTACGGCTGCCGTTCTGCTGCTTGAAATATTCCGTTAGCATTCGGATTGTCTGCGCTTGGTATTCCATCATTGGTCGATAGGGAATGCCTTGTTTCGTCGCATTTCCTCCCATCTGGCGTATGGCTGTCACTTTCTGAGGTCGCATGGTAGGCAAGACATCAACCTGTAGTAAATACTGGAGATGTTCAATGCTGTCTCGAAAGGAATTGGTTGCCAAGGTGAAGCTAAAACTTCTGTTATCAAAGGTGATATCATCCGCAACCCATCTGTAGCAAGCTTGCTGACCCCTCTCTGCCGTGTTGATAGGAATCGTGTGTTGGGTGGTTACCATGAAATTACATGCGAGTTCAAGCCATGTGATCCCAACCGCTGGTTTTCTTCTGTCAGGCTGACGGGGCCATTGCAACGTCTGTAACCATCTCAAAAGCAAGTCACTGTAAAGGCTGCCCCATCTAGAAACGTGAACAAGCTCAAAAAGGTTAGCAGGAATTGTGTACATGACAGGGTTGGAAACATGGTAGTCGATAAATTGTTGCTCCTTAGTATCAGCCACAACGTGTGTTACTGCCTCTGAATCCAATCGTTTGCGCAACTCCGCTAGCTCATACCGCATCTGATAGTGCTGGGTAAGGATAGACTTACTATGTGAGCATTCTTGAGAGAGTTTTGTCAAGGCCTGCGTGACCGGTTTTGCCAAGTATTTCTGCGTGAGATTTGCAGCGCAGTCAGCAACTCTGTTTCCCACCTTCTCGAAGGCATCAGCATCTTGTGGAGAGATGGATTGATGAGCCCGAACCTTTCGAACAGGGATATCACGTCTCTTCTCCCAGTGAAGCACATGCAAACGTTTCAAAAGGTCATAGTTTTTCTTCTTATGCAACTTCCAAGAGTGTGGTGTGTTCTCCACTGCTGCGTGGGCTGAAATCACATACTGAGAGTCAGTGACAACTGGTATTTCGAGTTCAAGCTCATGCGCTATGACAGCCGCCATGAGCTCAGCACGCGCTATGTTCTGCTTACCCGTGACATGTGAAGCTGCAAGCGTGTCGAAACAATTATGCAAGAGCCATGGTGCATCCTCCAATTTGTCAACCGGTAAGTCGTGTAGCTGATGATGCGTACAGACAATGGCATAGGATGCCCAGCAGTGTGTTCGATCTTGTGGCAAGTGGCATGATCCATCTGTGAAAAAACAAACTGGCTTATAGGTCAAAGGTGTACAGTCAGGTTCAGGAAACGTTTCAAACACTGCGGCGTAGGCTTCAACCTCTGGGTCTTTATAAAGCACTGGCAGCACAGTATGGATCATGTCGTGTTGTTCCAGAAAATCACAAACTTCAGGATAACTGCTTCTAACTGCAGCAGTTGCAGGGCAGGACAAAACTCGATGTTCAACCGAGTCATGTGCATCACAATACTGGCATTTCTCGGACTGCAGTTCGTCAAAGTGGGCTTTTTGCTGGTTAGTCATGTAACCTATGCAGATATCTAATCCAACCGAACGTTGCTTGTTGTGGTGTAGCCGGCTGAAAATGCTGCATGTGGCTTGCCGATCAATTGGCGGCAGGTTGCGCAGATGCTTACGATTGGCAATTGACATGGAAACGTGGGTCATCCATGCAGCTTCGGATGAATCGAGCAGTTCATCTTGGTTGCTGTGGACAATGTGCAGATGATGAAACTGTTGGCATTCAATAGCCCCGGTCATTGTCAATTTCCATCCCAGTTTCGCCAAGTAGGCACCAAGTGCCATAGCTGGGCCAACAATTTGGCTGTATCTGACTCGATTGGTACTGGCCATGCGGTAAAACAAACGTCTGGAATCTGCATCTGCTTCGCCCAGAAACGTCCTGGCTTCCTTTAGAGCAAGTTGAATAACACACAGTTCTGGGTCCATCAAATTATTGTTTAAGCACATGCATGCAACATACGGCTGGACATTGTGATGGTCTCCTACCAGGGCCTCTGCGATTTTGGATCGCAGTTGTGCAAAATAGGTTTCTCCGACCAGGTACATATGTGTGCCGGCCGTACATAGCCTTTGTGATACCTGCGGACATTGCAATGTATGCTTTGGTGGCAATGCTAAGGTCAGCTTTTTTCAGACGAGTCATACGGGCTATGGCTTGTCTGTGTCTTTCTTTTTGTGTACCCCTATAGGGAGAAAGGCGGTAATGCATGATGTATCCTAAGTCTCTTGCATGTGTGACCAATCTCAACTGCACTGCGGGGTCCAGGCATTGGTCTTTGGCAGCTTTCAATGCGTCACGGTGGTCAGAGTGCGTTCCCCAGGCCCAAGTTTTTCCCCAATCGATACCCAGTGAGAGTGAACGAGTTATCTGCACAATTTTCTGAATGGTTGGGCGGTGGTGAGAAGTGTTGCTGGTACTATAACTCCAATTGTCAGCGAATGCATGGATCTTCTGAGTCAATGGCTCTAGAAGGGAAACCATAAAGGCATTTATTCCTAACATGGCCACGACACTCATTGCGTCACCTTCTGGCACGCCGGTTGTTGCCGGGGGGATCTCGTGGAGTTGCTGATCAATGTGCCAGTACCTGATTACTTAGCTTTTTTTAAAGCCTCGTAAACAATGCTTTTAAAGCTCCAAGAGACGCGGTGAACGTAGGGGGTACGAGTGGCTAACGGACGTGGTGACGAACTTAAGGCGAACGAGTGAACGGACGAGTGCACGTGTGAGCGAACGAGTGAACGGACGTGTGCGTACAAGTGGACGGACATGTGCGCGTACGTGCGTGCGTTTGCACGTTCACTGGCCGCGTGCGCGGGCACGTACGAAAATAAGGTCGACTGGAGTCGACCTTATTTCTGTACGTGCAAAGCGCTACAATACTAAATCAATACTAAAGAGGCAGGGTCGTGCAAAAATAAGGTCGACTCAAGTCGACCTTATTTTCGTACGTGCGCGCGCGCGTGGCGAGTGACCGTGCAAACGCACGGACGTGCGCTCACACGTTCGCTCGCACGTACGCTCACTCGTACATACATACGTTCGCACGTACGTTCACTCGCACGCATGTCGTTCACACACACGTTCATACCCCCGTTCATGTCACTCGTCACTACACGTACGCTAGATAACAAAAATATTTTTACGAGACTTTAAAAAAAGCTAACTGATTACTTTTTGGATAGATGACATCCAGGTTAGCACCAGAGGTCTCGGGACTCCAAGGTGAATCAAGATGCTGACAAGAGGAGGTTGAGGCAATGTGTTAAAACATTTGATAATGTCAAGGGTGAGCCCGCCCCAGTGGGAGTCACTGTAAGAATGGTTAGTGGCTTCAAGTTGGAGCTGCATTTCGTAAATGAGTCCATGGGCACTTCGCCCTGGCAAGAAGCCAGAGATGGATGCTGGCATTCGTTGGGTCCAGACCTTCAGTATTTGCCTGGTGACCATCTTACTCCAAAGTCTGTAGAGGAGGGAGAGTACCGTGATCGGTCTAGTTGCTGAGGCGGTGTTGGCCTTATGGTGTTTGGCTACTGCCACTACCCGCGCCTTCATCAGCCAGGGAGGAAACCCACATGTAGAATCATGGTTCATTGCCTGGATCAGGTCCCGAATGCATGAATCAGGCAAAGCTTTTAGCTCGTCTGGCGCCCATCCACAGCATCCTCTGGCCGTCGTAGACGGTATCTGAGCTAAGGCGAGTTTCCAGTCTTGCAAATCATTGAGTGCAACCGTGATTTCCTGGGCACGAGGCAGTTGTTGTTTCAAGGATTTAAACTCAGTCCAGCATCCGAGGTCATGTTGTTGTTCAGGCGAATCCCTGTTCCAAAAGGTTCTCCAATATAGCGTCAGCTGATCTGCTACCTCTGAAGGCTGGGATGTTTCCCGTTGCTGTTGGATGGTCACCTGGGGGTTCAAGTGGTGAATTTCGTCATGAAGCATCAATTCAACTTGTTGGCCGTCTGATTGCACTATCGTGGCTGCATGATCATCAACAAACACTGGTTGAGTGTAGTCAAAGTCCATTGGCTCTTGGAGCCGCAATGTGCATAGTTCGGCCATTTGGGGATGATTTCCCTAAAATAAACCATGATTCCAGGGTTCGGGAGGACAGGGTTCTGTCGTGATGAAATTTGCCATTTGGTTATTTAACATAGCCATGGACAATCACCATTTTATAGCTAGGTAAACCATATATTTCGATTAGGGCCATCTAAACCATGGCTACGTTAAATAACCAGAGGGTACAGGATGGGGCCCCACAGTTATAAGTTGGTTTATAAACCCTTACAATCCCCATTAACTATAGTTATATCTACCATAATAAACCATTGTTAAGCCACTTATAAACCAACTTAGCTATCTTGGGGCCCCCATCCTGTACCCATATTTATGGCAACCCTTTGGTCTTACCGCTACCCATAGCTCCTTAAAGCGCTCCCTCTTTTTATATACACGATTTCATCGCATGGTGAAAAAATGGAAACGCGCCAGCCTCCATTTCTATCAACAGTTTAGTAAGGCCATGGCTATTAGTTATAAGTGGTGATTTTTATGGGATGGGAAACATTCATATACATTCCAATTTTTCCATGGGTGACTTGGGTGACTTGTTAGTATAACTGGTTTTTGACTCGGGCCATAACTGAAACAGTTATAGTTTCAAGGTATTTAAAGGTACAGTTAAGGCCATTTATTAGTTATAACTGGTTATTTCAATGGGATTATACATTTCTATAAATGGGGGTATAACATTTCAATGGGATTATTCCATACATTCTATAAATGGGTTATTCTGGTTCTTTCAATGGGATTATTCATTTACTTATAACTGGTAACTGTACAGTATTGAAATTATGAGGTCAAACACCAGAACTGGTACTTGGAAGGTCGAGGTGGATCCTGCCTGGTACAAATGGAGGTACGGCGAAGGTCGGGTGCCTGCCAGGTGTCGTAACTTATCCACTACTTGGTCGCTCACCCCACTTAGTAAGTAGGTTATAACCCTAGTTTTAGGTGGATTAACCCTGCTTATCCCACTGATAACTAGGGATATAACCTACTTACTAAGTGGGATGAGCCACCAGGTATGATTATATGATGATCCAGTTATAGCTATTTGATGTTATTTGTTATACCCTGAATGACATATGATTGTTGGTCTGAAAATCCATCCACTTGGTTCCCACAGTCAATATCCACTTATCAATTAGCATCCATGATATAGAACCAGGGATTTTCCATCCCTAATTTCACATCCCCAAAAACCCTCTGATAATCAAAGATGACCATGGAAAAAAACGCCAGTCATAAGAGTTATAGATGACTACCCTCTGGTAAACAAACAGTTTGCTATTGAACATGGCCATAGAAATAGTGAGTTTTCCCATTAAAAATGGTGATTTTCCATCGTTTTTCGTAACGTTTACCAGAGGGTATCCCATGAAGCAAGCTCTCTTTTTGTCGATGATTTTCCAGCCACGTGGCTGCTTTTCCATCAAGGTATCCTCCATTTTCCGACCCCAAAATGAATCAAATCAGTAGTGTTCAAAACCATTTGCTGTCCCTTACTAGACCTGGTTAAGAAAGTGGATCTCCCAGTCAATAGTAGTTTTCATGGGTTGTCTAGTCTGAAGGTAGCCCTTCTCATGGTCGTTTTGAGACATGTTCCTAGGATCTTCGCCAGCATTCTTAGCTATATCCCAATCAAGCTACCTTCAGTAAACCACCTTCCACTTCAGCACGACCCAGTTGAAACAAGTTCGTCGCCTTTTGAAGCTCTTCACGGCCATGAGCGAATTTGCACTGCTGCCCAAGCTGACCTTGGTGATAAAACCCATGCCATGATGGGATATAATAAATAAATAAATATATATATATATATATCATAAATAAAAATAAAATATATTATATTGTATTATATTATATTGTATTATATTGAATTATATTATATTGTATTAAATTGTATTTTGTTATATTGTATTAAATTATATTATTATATTATATTATATTATTCTCTATGATATGATATGATATTATATTATATTATAAAGTGTTTATAGATATATTATATATTATACTTGGTGGTTCATCCCACTTAGTAAGTAGGCTATATCCCTAGCTATAAGTGGGATAAGCAGGGTTAATCCACCTATAACTAGGGTTATAACCTACTTACTAAGTGGGGTGAGCCACCAAGTATGTATATATATATATATATTACATATACAGTTCTGGCCAGAAATACCAATTATAAATGGCTATAATTGTTATAACTGTAACTGGTTATGTATATTGGATTATACATTCCATACATGGGGTTTTGTTAGTACTGATAACTGGTAAAGGGCCATAGCTGTAGTAAATTGTAATAGGGTATGAAGAGAAAATGTATGGGTTGATACAGGATAACAGTGGGATAATCATGTATAATTATTTCAAGTAACCATAATAAACAATTCCCCATTGGCGGTTTTATTACTGAGTATACCCCCTAAAAAAACAGGGATATTCCCATCTGCTTGGTGAATGACCAAAACCGCGTGACCGTTGAGGTCTCAAACCTTGGCCATGTATGGATAGTTATGCGCAAAACTAATAGATGGAATGAGGGTTCCCCACTTTTTTTTGAAAGAAATCCATATCCCGAAGCTATCTGCATGCGAAAACACCACAAATGCACTGACAAAAGGTGCAAAAGCAACCCCACAAAAGAATGGAAACATAACTTACTGTTTCCTCCGCCTTCCAACATCTTTGTCGGAGGACTTTAATCACGCCCCACTTGACATTGATTTTTTCAGCCCTGAAACTGGGGAACATCCAACAGCCGGTTCCACCCCCCTTGGAAGATTTTCAGTACCGGGACTCCGCACAGCCAGAACCT